AAGAGTAAGTCGTCTGATGTTGTCAATCCGGATGTGCCAGACATTTGGTCTGACACATGGTGTCTGATGTAGTTGGCGGTTGTTTAAAATCCATCTTTTTTATTTTCTTTTAAAATGTATTTGCGGCCCTTACATGGGTATTATTTGGTTTGTAATGGTGTTATAACTTTAACTTTTATCTGCACTTCTAAACCAAGTATCACTAGTGTTGAATGCCAAGATTTGGTGCTCTAACATCATTTTGTTAAACATATGTGCTATTGGTTGAAGTTTGTCTACTTCTGATCTGATGTGTGTATGTGCTAACATACTAACCTCTGTGCAGACTGGATTATTTCTTTGAGGAACATCTTTGCTAAATTATGAAGAAAAAAGGGGGGAGTAATGGTGGATGTAGTGGAATGGTGTAACTACTATCTTGACAACTGGCCTTGTGGTGTATGAGGTTTAATTGATATATCATGTTGTGCTCAGTACTGAATGATGTTCTAAGTAGCCCTAAGTTATGTTTTGTGTGCACATATGTTGAAGCATTTGACCTGGCATCTAGCCTTCAACCTTATGTGACTGTGTGTGTTGATAAATTTGTGTGTTAGTAGTAGCTTTTGACCTCTGACTACTGACTAGTAACTATGTGTGCATGCATGACTAACCTATCATGAAATAATGCATGTTAACTTCTAATGGGGGCATCATTGTGTGTCAACTAACTGATGTGTAACAACTGCCATGTGTCATACCCCAATTTTTGACCTAAGATCCCATTTTTATTTTTGCATTTTTATACAAAAGTCAAGGTCACTAAATACAGTCGGTTTTAACCTCTCACCTTCGAGCATTGATTACGCAGAAATTGTCAAGTGTTTTGAACATTCTTAGCCTATGTATCACTAACTTCTAATCAAGCACGAAATGTGTGTTTTTTGTTTCTTTGATTTCATGTGCTGACAGGTCTTCTTCGAATGCAACTTGGGCATGTCCTTCGATTGACTCTTAGCCTCCTTAGAATGCAACTTGGGCATGTCCTTCGATTGACTCTTAGCCTACTTCGATTTGGACAAGTGCTGCCTGCAAGCCTACTTCGATTTGGACAAGTTTGCTGCCTGCAAGCCTACTTCGATTTGGACAAGTTTACTGCCTGCAAGCCTACTTCGATTTGGACAAGTTTGTTGCCTGCAAGCCTACTTCGATTTGGACAAGTGCTACCTACAAGCCTACTTCGATTTGGACAAGTTTGCTGCCTGCAAGCCTACTTCGATTTGGACAAGTTTGTTGCCTGCAAGCCTACTTCGATTTGGACAAGGTTATTGCCTGCAAGCCTGCTTTGACCTGGACAAGGTTACTGCCTGCAAGCCTACTTCGACTAGACAAGTTTGCTGCCTGCATGCTTGCTTCGTTTGGACAAGTTTCGATGGGACAAAGTAACCACCTCTATGCACCCTTCGAATCCACTTGCACCAAGGGCCTCTTGCATACTTTTCTTCATACAAGTTTCGTTGTAGCCAAGAGGTATCTTCATACCAGATTTGACTAAGTTCTTGCTTCCCTTGAAAAAGCGCACTTCAATTCAGAAGCCAGGAACTTCCCTCATGCTAAAAAGACAAAAGGAAATGGCTCCCTTTATGTTTGTTTCGATCCATATGCTTCGATTGGGCAGTATGCTTCCTTCGAGCTTGAGCTTTCGATTTGACAGCATGTTTCCTTCGATACAAGCTTCGATTGGGCATTAAATTGTTTCGACCACAAGCTTCGACTGAGGGAAAGGCTTCCTTCGAACAAGTGTGTTTCGATCTCATTCTTGCATTCGACTCAAGACCAAATCTCATTTTCAAATGCCTGCTGTAAGATGCCAAAACAAAACAGAAAAACCTGCAAAAAGCTGCATCATATCAGTCCGAACCAGTCCAAAAACCTGCTATGCAAAACCAGACCTGATGCCTGTAACTTGTATAAAAACGAAAAAAAACACAAAAACAACATTAGAAAGGATCAAAACAGCATTCCAACATTGTTCAAATTATTTTGTTTTCCCTCCAAAAGCTTCAGCCAACTTTGCCTATAAATAAGAGGCTCCAACACATGTTTAAGAGAGGATTTTTGGACCAGTGAAACGAATCACCCAAATTTTCTCAAACACAACAAAACTCTCAAGTCCCTTCAACACTTGTGAGAAAAAACCCAGAATCACATACTTACTTCCTTCGATTTTGAAGAAAAAATACTCTTCAGTATCCTCTGAATCCAGTTTGGAAAGAAACATAAGACTTGTTTCTTTCCTTCCTTCGAATCCAACAGTCCAAGAACAATTGTTGGCCCCCTCTTTCAAATCCAGAACCTTTGACCTCCACTCAAGGTCCCACATCCATTCAACGCCTCCATCAAGGTAAGTCACTCTTACCTTTGAACTTTTCGTTCCATGGCATAACATGTAAATAATATCTTTGTTCGTTTCAAGCATGTATATAATATTGTTCCTTTCGTTTCCACCCCGTTAACATGTTTTTAAAAGTTAACCCTTTCGTTTTGCTTTCTGTTTACCTGAACTAGCTTTAATTATTAAACTGTTTAAAAGATAAATACTAGCATGGCCTCAGGCCATGTTGTCATTTAATGCTTTAAATGAAAGAAACAGGAAACAGGAAATAGGAAACGAAGCCTTTGGTTTCCACACTGACTTCCAGGCCCAGCCAGAGGCACACTTGCACTAAGTCCAGGCCCAGACGAAAGGCACTCCCATTCTGGTGCCAGCCTCCAATCGAAGTACATGACCTGACTGGTGCCAAAGCCTAATCAAAAGATGTGACTTTGCTGTTGCCAGCCCCAATCGAAGGAGGCCAACAAAATGCAAATCGAAGGATACAACTTACTGCTGCCTTTGCCCAATCGAAGGATAGGACTTCGCCTCTGCCAAAGCCCAATCGAAAGACGTGACTTTGCTGTTGCCAGCCCCAATTGAATGAGGCCAACAGAATGCAAATCGAAGGCTGCTCCTTCCAGAATCGAAAGACACTCACTTTTCTTACTTTTATCTTATTTTTTCCTTCATATTTTTTATGCCTTTTGATATGTTTGTAATAGCGTAGGTTTTTATCTTTCTGCATTTTTTTACTTTGTACAAATGCTAGTAATTAGGTGTATAGCAAGATAAAATCAACAAGTAAACAAACAAAAAAATTCAAAAAAAACACTCTTTAATCATTACTTGAATATATCTTAAAACTCGCAAAACACTCAACAAATCAAAACTTCCCCAAAGGGCATGTTATCTCCGTTCTACCGCGATACCGGCCGTGCCTATTGCTAGAATGCGTGCGTTAACATCGCCTACTAAAAAACACAAACAAACCAACCATTTTCTAGGAGGAACTACGTTGTTCTGATTCCTTCATTGGATACGTAGGCAAAGGGTCGGGAAACCCTCACGAACGCAATAATGAAAAACTCATTTCTTTCCCCTTAAGCAAACATAGTTGTAGATAAATACACCCTTGTATATAACAAACAATTTTAACCAAAAAAACAGATATTTCAAAAGGTTCCTGTGGAGTACCGCAGATGCATTGGGTGCTAATACCTTCCCATTGTATAACCAACCCCCGAACTCTTGATCTCTTTCAAAAAACGCATTGTATTTTCATTACTTCTAAGTATTATTTTACATTGCATGTTTTAGGGTTTTATTTCGCTCTTTTCCCTTTCCCCTTGGAAATAATAAAGCGCGGTGGCGACTCTTACTTTTGTGAGTCAAGTTAATTAATAGCTTGATCTCTGATTTTCACCGCTACACCATGCTACTGATTTATTAAGCGGATGTATGCTCGGATGGATGTTCTTCTTCTGTTGTTGATGTTAGTTTTAAGTATGGGATATCTTTTGATACTCAGTTGTGTTTCTGCAAGAAGAGTTGTTTGCCAAAATTTGTCAAAGAGGGGAGATTGTTGTTCCTTTTGGATTGGTTGCATTATGCAAAACAACATGAAGTATGTTCAAGTTGTTTCTGGTGTAGAAGGGACACATGTGGAACACGGTGTTCCAACATGTGTGCTGCAATATCTGGTCTCTAACAATAGACAAATGTTATTGCAGTTTAAGATCAGACTTATTATATCCAAGATTCACTCTACAAAGAAGATATATGAAGAGAGTTAATTTGGATGTTCTGGTACAACATGTGAAACACGATGTTTCAACATGTATGCAGAGCAACCTCTAACCCTTATAAGCGGGCTATGATGGAAGTTTCTAGGTGCAAAATTTATGATTGATATTTAATCAGAGTTATTGCAGATTGGTTAGCAATGTTTGTGTGATTTGTTTGACAATTGTTGCAGGTCAAATCATATTTAAATAGATATTTAATCAGAGTTGTTGCAAATTGTTTAGCAATGTTTGTATGGTTTTACTAAACTAGGTTACCAATCTCTTGTGTTTTTTTATTGATTTTTGCAATGTGTAAGTGTACCATTATATTATCGTCTTACTAGTTTAGCAAGTTGGACCAATTATTCTAACATCGTGTTCAAGATTTGTCCTCTCAGAAACATAATTCCAATTGCAACCGAAGGTATTGAAGGGTTGATGAGAAATTTGTGCTCCTTGTCGTGTTTTCGTCCCTTCAAATTGGCAGACAACCTACAACTTGAGCTTTTACGATTCATGGATGACACAATTAAAGTGGACAAGGTATCATGGAATATGACGACAACAAAGGTTTGATCCTTGACCCTTCTTGGCCAGTTAACAGTAGAAAGTCTTCGATTTGGTGGAGGTATTTAATGTTGTCCATTGAAGATTAGAGGGGAGATTCAAATTATGCAGTTAAGAACTATGAGCGCATATGAGGCCTTAAATACACACAAGTAATTTATTTGCATATGTAAGGTTCATCTACTTTACAATCACCATTACTACATAACTCAAACGTGCGCTTAGATACAATTATTTCTAAAACAGCTTATATCTCTAAAAACCAACACTTACACTTTAAAGAAAATCATTTGATGAAATTCTGCACTATATCTTCAATTTTCCATCATTGTCGACGTTGTTCATCCACCGTAGAACGGGTAACAAGAACTTTCTTGTTAAGATCACTTTTAGGTGCAATACTACCAAGGCCTTTAAGGTGGAAAAGATTGTGTACCTTTCGAGCAATAAGGACACCACAAATGGCTCCCAATGTAAATGTAAAAAATGCCTTCAACATACTTTTAGATAGAAAACACAAATGAGAAAGGAAACTAATGGAATTCAAAGAGGCCCTTATGGATAGGTCAAGTCTTAAAAAATGCAAAAGGTTGAAATAGGGATGTTAAGTCCTTTCTTCAATCCCAGCCACATGCATGCCATCTTTTAGTTGTTAATTTAAGATAGAAAATGAGTGGTATTTGGTTGAGACACTCTTCTATTATGTTTATTATATTTGATTGCATTGGATTAGCAAAAAAAATTGAGAGAAAATAGTTATTTTTATTAAAATAATCTTATTTCTTAGAATTATGAATTGAATATAATCGTCTAAAATAATTTGAAAACTATATTCAAATATTTAAAATAGACTCTAAAAATATCACCAACTTTTAAAAAAGAGTGATATTTTAATTAATTTATAAATAATATTAAAATCTATAAAAAATGTTTTAAAAATATTTTGGCAAAAGTTTTATTCATAAATATAATGTTTGTAACTTTTTCCTAATAGCAAAGTTTCAGTATTTTTTTATATGAAATATCACTACGCCAAAAATAAGTTTTAGCAGCACATAAAAGAAAGCGCTTTTGGAAAAAAGTGTTGCTGTAGGTTTTAAAAAAAATCCGCTTAAAAAAGCGCTTTCAAAGGGTGCCTTAAGAAAGCGCTTTTCAAAAGCGCTTCTAAAGGTCACCCTTAAAAAGCGCTTTTTGGAAAGCGCTGCTAAAACTGGCATTTCATACAATTTTCTAAAACGAAATAGTTTCGTTGATCAATTTTTTATAACGAATCATTAATTTTTTTTTACTATAAAACAATATTAAACATGTTCAAATTTAATATATTATAAAATAATATTAAAATTATATTCTAATAATAATAATAATGTGTTATATTTTATCATAAAATTTAATAATTGTTCCGCTCAAGAACTAGATTTGATTGGAGAGGAAGAATTTATGGTCTGTCGTGGTGGTTCAAAGTTTCTAATACGGTGGAGACATGACTAACATACAAAGTTAACACTTTAACACTCAAGTAAGTAAGAGATTAAAAAGTGAAGTTTGAATGAAAAAATAATTGAATACTTATAAAGTGGCCAGTTTTTCTCTTTATAGAGAAAATGGTTGATAACTGAATGTGCATGGAATGACGTGGAATGCGATTATTCGTTGAATTGAGTCAAGATATTAGCATGACATTATCGTAAAGGATACTCTGTGACACAGTGAAAAAGGGTCTACCATTTTCTCGTGAGGCAACTTCTTGCATAGTTACTAGGATTTCACTCTTCTGGACTAGCAAGATAGGAAAAAAGGACAATGATGCTAAAGAACACACATCAAGAAATTCAAACTCCTCACAACAGGTGCACATGAACCATTACACCTTGTGTTTTAGGAATAAGGCGACCTTCAAGTAGATCGGAAGGCTTATAGATAACTTCATGTCCATGAACACTCGTTGTGAGCAGATATGGTATGAGGTCTTCTATGAAATTACAGTCATCGTCAGTACCATTTTATTTTTGATGATTTGCCAATTTGTGTGCATATGTGAATGTGATTAATTGTTGTAATTCATGTTTGTAATTCGTTTGGATAAGTCTTGCTTCAGCGCTACCTAGTATTGACCTTCGAGAACCTCTTTATTAATTGATTTGGTAGTTGTATCCATGAAAATATTTCCGTTATTAGTCTATAATTTTTTTAATATTAATGTGTCAAGTATTGCTTGAATCACAAGTTAGAATGCTTGAATCAAGGTTGCAAATATGTGTGACTTAAATAATGAATTCTTGGGAAAGTTGAGAATTGCATCTACCTCATTTGGTTTGAATCATGAGAAAGTCTGATTCGAATTACAACTCTCTATAATTCGAATAAGGAGACATACATGACTCGAATCATGGCTTTTATCTCTCATTTTCAACTTTTGATTCAAGTTTTTGTTTCTTTGGTTCAAATCATTACTTCATGATTTGATATAATTTCATTTTCTTTCTTGTTTTTCAAATGTTTCTACACTCTAACACCAATTTATCTCATTTGTTCTTTGTCCAAAAATAAGAGAGTGTAACCAAAATAGGAGAAAAGGAATCTCTTATAAGTAAGTGGTAACACAAAAATCTCTTGTAACACTTGTTTGTTTTTGTAGTAGAACAAGAAACCAAGAGAGTGATTTGATCAATCATAGATTAAATTGATCAATCTCTGAACATGAACCAAGAACATAAGAAAACCATTTTTACGAATAATCTTGGGAGTACTAAAGTGTGTGTTCTTCATTCACCAACACATATATCCTTGTTGATACCTTGAAATTGAACTCCTAGAATGTGGATCTTGTGGGAGTTAGTTATATGTGTGAAATTCTTCATATACTATTCATCATCTTCAACCTTTGTCAAGAACCATTGTTTTAGATCTCCAACTCCAAAGATTGGGTGTGAGAGTTATACTAAAGGTACATTTGGGATTGTAATGTTTTTCTTTGAAGTTATGTATTGTGTATCAGGTGGAATAATGGTTTCTTGTGAATGGATTATAGTTATGAAAGTTATCGCAAAACAAAGTTGGGAGTCATCTTATTATTCGAAGCTAATGAAGATCACTCAAATAAGTCTTTGTCATATTTAAGGAAAGGGTGCTGCCAAAAACGGAGCTTGGAGAAGGTTATTGTAGATAACAAGATCATTGGATCAAGATCAATGAGGATCTTAAATGTAGCAGTTGAGTATTTGCATCAATAGAAGGAAATGTTTGTTTATCTCTGATTAAGATAATCCAATGTCGCTATTAGTGTTTTGATTGATGTTAAATCATTGTATCAAAATACTTATACATTAACTTTTGAAATAGTGGAAGACAAGATTATTTCCCAATGATTTTAGATCATTGTTGAATGGAGTAGGCATCATTAGGAAGAGTGTGAACCACTATATATCTTTGTGCACTCTTCTTCTTTCCTATCTTTTTTTAATTTTCTGAATTTATTATGTAATTGTTGCATCATAACATTGTTTGTAGGTCACTTAAGTTACATCATGTTTATAGCGGTTTATTGTGTAAGCATATGTCTGTGATGCATTAAACATCTAGAATTGTCTTTAATTTCAATCATCTTTAAAAGTATTTCTATGTTGAGGTATTAAATTGGTTGAATATAGCAACTTGGTTTATCATAGTTTGATTATGTTCTTGGTTGGATCACTAGTTTGATAACATCATGAAATATCTTGGTTCGAAATCATATTGATGAGATTCTAAGCTTCCATCTTATGTTGTTTTTGCTCTCGCCCATAAATCTCTATTTTTTTTTCAAAATGTTTTAAGATTGTTTTTAAAACGGAAAGGTCTACTCAACCCCCCTATACATCATATCCTTAACCTACAAGTAACCTCAGAGCTGGTATTTGATAAAGTGTAAGCTACTTCAAAGTCAAGGATTCAAAATTATTTTTAATCCCAAAAAGTTTTTTTTGGAAGCTTTCTCATTTAAATTGATACCAAATATATTTCATTTATTTCTTAATGATTGATTCATCATTTTCTAATCAATATTGAATAATACCAAGTAATTATCTACTAGAGTGATATTTGATCATTAATTGCAACTGAGAAATTCTTTAAGTTTGATTCATTCAAAAGAGGACGCAAGAAGAAAAGTGTATATATCATCAGATACTATCTAGCAAGAGTCCTGAAGCCTTTTTCAAAAGTTTGAAAGCTCACCAAAGTCATGTCTATATGTCTATCTGAGTGAATTAAGTATTATAATGATAAGGTAGTAACTCAAGAAGTACTAAGACAACTCACACACACACTAAAAACATTTTCAAAATACATTATCAAGAGAAAACAATTTTAAAAGTGCCTTAGAGATGTACCACATGAATTAAGAGCAGTAGAAATATCCCGAGGTAAAAATTGACTTATTTAATCAATTAAGACTTTAGACTAATTGATTAACTCAGTCTAAACTTACGCCCCAAGACTTTTGAACAACTCCTTAATGATGTGCAATGGCTCCATATAAGACCTTTCTTTTTGGTTATCTTAACGGTCATATTTGAAGCATTTAATCAATTAGGCTAATCGATTAAATAGTTAATGCAACCCATGAGTCATTTTCTTTTCTGGTAATTCCAACTATTATATAAAGGGAGGTCTCCATCACTTCAAACCACACAAGTTTCCAAAATTTTCATATCTTTTGTGAATTTATCTTTCTTTCTCCTCTTGAATTTTTATTCTCACTATCAGTTTCCTGATTACAATTAAGTGAAGCTCTATTTGTGTGGATAATATTTGTGTAAGTGGTCGTGCTGGCCGTTTATAGTCTTAAGGGTATGATACCTTTAAGAGATTGAATTTCAGTTCTTGAGATAAACCATAAATATCTATTATTGGTTTGTTAAGCTTTGCCAGAAACAGATTTGTTTTGGTTAAAGAGATCAACCATAGATCTCTGATGGTTTCGATAGAATAAGCTAGAGTAAAAGTCGTCTCTAGGTTAGGGATAAGCTTGTTCAAAATCTCAATATCATATTGTATTAAGCTTTATGGACATAACCTTTAAAAACTCAAAATTCTATAGTGAAAAATCTCAAGAAGACCTCTTAGGGACAAGACTAGGCCAACATTCGACCAAACCTGGATAACTCTCTAGTGCAATCTTTATATCCTTATCCTCTTTATTTTCATAAATTTAGTTTCATGTACTTTACTTCTTCAACGCTTACTCACTTATAAACTTACTAATGTGATCTCAATTGAGAAAGGTTATAATTAATCACGAATTTTAAATACAATAATTTACTCCTCTCCCACCCCCCTCTTGTGCTTGAGGTCACTTGTCCAACAATATACGTAAGAAGTCAGTAGTAGAAAAGAAAATGAGAAATAAGTTGACACAATAGATATATTAACACCTTAACTAACTTAGTTTTTCAATTATAAGCAGTTCTAAAGTAGTTAGGGTAGTTACTTGGAACCAAAGCCTTAGTATATTGTAGCTATAACAATATAACGTGTGATAAAA